TAAATCCATTCTATTTGCATTTTGTGTATTGTCAAGCATCTTATCGTGCTGTCATTCACTCATTGCTGGTATGACATTTATTTTTCCAGAATTTCATTCTACTTGCACTAATACACATTAGCATTAATGCACATTTTAGCACTAATGTGCATTTTAGCACAAATCCAGTCCACTGAATCCACATGGCTCAGACAAAGCTGGAAGGTTGGATTGACAGAAATCTGGACTCGGTTGAATCAGTTGTAGGTTTTTTTCTTTTTCTAAGTCCCTAAGAATATCTACTTAAAACCTTCCTACATCACATTAGATGGGTGAAGGCTGGATGCAACTTCTCCCAGTTGTTTATTGCTGCCCAAAAGGAGTGCTGCATTCCACAACGAGGAAAAGAACTGGATGGGGATGAACCCAAAAGGAGCAACCATGCTTTAAGGGTGGGAAATGGATCTAGGAGCTGGATAGGAGAGCAGGTAGAGGAGAACGAAGGAAAGGTGGCTGCTCTTCCTACATGGGCTGGGCCTTTGACGAGCAGTTCTGTGGCACCTGGGCATGCGTCCGCGCCTTCTGGCTGCGGGTACAGAACCTCTTTCAGGGTAAATTTCATTTTAGAGAAGCTTTCAGGCAGTGGGCAAGGCTGAAGGGGAAACATAGCATGAAGGCATGCCAAAATCGGCTGGCTGGCCGGCATTTATTGGCAGTAGGCTCTTAGAGCTGGGAGCTAGGCATGTCTGCCTTTACACATGTGGGAAAAGCTGCCCCAAAGCCCAGAAGCCTCACAACAGTCGGTGGTTGGTGGAAGGGAGAGGGGTGAAGTGCTGCATCTGTGGCAGGCTGGAGAGACGGACTGGGAGCCCGAGGGGGCTCGCTTGAACCCCAGGCCTGAGGCTCGGCACCACAGCCCCACACACTGGGGCGCGATGATTTGGCTACCAAAGACATTCTGCGTTGCCCAAAGACAACTGGAACGGCACTTCAGCCTAGGGAGGGTCCCCTTGTGAGCTGCTGGCTTCCGGGATTGAGTGGCCCGTCCTTTGGCGCCCCGGGCAGGGCAGGCTCTAGGGCCCCAGGTGGCTGCCGAACTGGACCCCTTCCTGTGCCATTGGCCATTCCAGGAAGGCTATCCGACCGCAGGCACTGGGCTGCCGCCATCTTATCACCTTCCCCACAATCGTGCAGAGCAGGAGGAAGCCAACCGGGCGGGAGGGGCCCCCGCAGGGGCTGCTGGAGGCCTGAGAACGTTGCATGGCGGCTTCAGACCACCCCCGGGGAGCGATCCGGGAACCGTGTGGATCAAGGTCCCAGTTCAGCGATGCGCACGCCCAGACCTCACGGGCCCCCGTGTGACTGGCAGGTGGCACGAAGCCTTCCCATTGGTCAGGCCTGGCGTACACACAAAACCTCCCTGCCTTTGCAGGGCCGACAGAGTGGGGACCCCAGCCCCTCACTGCCCATTCCCAGCTCTAGCTCCAGTCAGAGCGGAAGGTGGGGGGAGCTGCTCTTGGGAAAAGCACCCATTTCGGGACAGCACTGGCTGGGGTCCCTCTCCTACCTGGCCCGGACATCCAAGGGGCTGTCCAGACAAGACCGTGGGCTGCCGCTGTCGTACCACAGCGGGTCCTGCCTCAAGCTCATCCCATGCTCCGTGGCAGGTGGAGGGCAAAGCTGCTGGGCGGGGGAGTCTGGGGTTCTGCTGCAAGAGACCCCATGGCTCCCCATGTGGGCTGGCCCGATTGCCGCAGGGCGTGGGGTCCGGCGGCAAGCCCCTCCCCCCAGCCTCTCCTCCTGAGCTGCCCAGCATGACTAAGATCCGGGGGCACAAAGCCTTTGTCCTGCCGGCCATCAAAGAGAGGGCCAGACAAGTGAAAATCCGCAGGATATTCTGCAGTATTTATCCTTGGCCCAACCAGAGCCGTCTGGGTTCTGGGGTCCCTGTCTTTGGTCCTGCAGGCAGATGCCCTAGTTGAGGCTTCAGCCTGCTCTGCACACCGAAACGAACTAAAATGGCCCCTTCGAGTTGTGGTCCTGTGAGCCTTTTTCCGCAAATTTCAATTTCAGAGAAGTGTTGGGGGATGGGAGCATCTTGCAGTGGTGGGCCGGGCCAAAAGCAAAAGAGGGCAGGGCCAAAAGGCAAACAACACCAGCCTATTTTAGCTTACAGCTCTTGCTGCTTGTAAAGAAGGAGGCATTTCAACCTTTGGGGATGGGGGAAAAGCTGTGCAAAAGCTAAGAAAAGCACCAAGGATCAGCAGCTGGGCAAAAGGGGGTGGCGCATGGGACCCCTGTTGAAGCCCCAGGGGACTAGACAGCAGCCCCCAAGAGTGGGGTTGAGCTGCTGGTCCAAGGTTCTGCACCTCTGCGCGCAAGCCCATTCTGCGCATGTTCAGGGGCACTGTGCACCTTTGCCTCTGGCAACAAATTATCTTGGGCCAGTCCTGAGCATTGCATCTCACGAACATGGCAACAGAGCACTGGGACTTGCCCGAGACTTTTTGGCGACCAGACAGAAGAATTCAGCAAGCCCTGGCTTTCTCCCAGGCTCACAAGGAGGACCCCTTGCTCAACAAGAATGCGCCCACTTGACATGCAGAAGGTCCAACAGTCAATGCCCGGTATCTCCAACGAAAGGAAGAAAACCCTTCTCAGCTCGGGACCCGGGAATGCCACAGCCCATCAGAGCAGCCTGCACAAGCCACCAATCTGCACACACAGAAAATGGTTTCTTATGTTGCTAACAGCTGCCCCAACTTTCCCGGGATGTGTAGCTCCTTATCAAGTCTCTGGCATCACTGCTTTCCACGAGAGCAAACGCCTTTTAGGAATGCCAGAGAAAGTCATTTTGCTAGATCAGGAGCGATAGGGCTTGCCGAAGAACCTCTTCTAAAAGTTGTATCAAAGCAGTAACAAATCATGTGAATGTGCCAAAGTTACTTTTATCAACACCCCCAAAAATCTTCCATATAAGGTTGAGCTGCTTTGTGGTCCATCCTGCGAATTCCTTACACACATCACGTGTGTGCAAAGAGTTGAATTTGACACTAGCTAGTCTCAGGGTTGGAAGCTGGTGCCCCAGCTGGGTAGAAACTATTCTATTTTGGAATGCAACCAGGATTTCAGCCCGTTCTGAACAAGAATGGGAAGTTGGCATCCTTGACTCTTTCCTCACCTCCCTCTCCCCAAGAAATGAATTTAAGACTGCATTTAGAGAAATAGCTAGTCAGCAAAAAAGCTGAACCACACTCCTCGAATTGGCGTACGCTCCACTTTGATAAGGGTGCAGTCAACTGTACAATTCCACTCTGCCTACCTTGCAGTCCAAATTATCCTAGAAAAGCTTTACCAGGTACTGCTGCGGAATGTGAAAAAGTGCCAACAAGGAAGTTGGTGAGCCAGGAGAACTGTGGCAGTAAATCAAGGGTGAGCAAGTTAGGGCCCAGCAGATTTTTGAGTCTACACCTCCCATCAAACCTTGCCAGCATAACCAGAGGAGAGGGATCATGGGTGTTGTAGGCCAAAACCCCTGGATCTGGGTTTGTGTTTGGCTGATCCTCAAGAATTCTGAGGACAAACCCATAAAGGAAGATGCCAACTGCATCTTTTGTTCTGTGCCATCAACTCATGGCAACCCTATGAACGACAGCCATCCAAAACGTCCTGTCCAGGACAGGCCCATTCTGAATTCCAAGTTCAGGACTGTGGGTTCCTGCATGGAGCCCAGTCATGCGGTCTTCCCTTTCGTCTGCTGCTTTCAACATCCCATGCATGATTGTCTTTTGTAAGGAGTCTTGCTTGCCCATAGCAGGACAGCCTCAGGTCCTGGCTTGATTTGACCTAGGATCAACTTGTTTGTCTTCCGTCAGCCCAGGATCTTCACAAAGCTGCCCTCCAGTACTACGTTTTGGAAACATCCATTTTCTTCCTGCCCACTTTCTTCACTGACCTGCTTTCACACCCATATGTGGTGATCGGGGACACAAATGGGTGGGTGATCGTGGCCCTGGTGAAGTGTTCTTGTCTTGATCTTCTCCAGTTCTTCTTCGTTGCCCTTTCAAGCCTCAGTCTTCTTCTGAATGGATCGAGGACTTCTTCTCAGGGAGCCTTTACCCAAAGCAGGCACATGGGCCATATCTCTGCGATGGGATCGCAGTCTTAACTCACGGCAGCAACAGGGCATGGCAAGAGCAGGAACTCACTCAGAAGCACATCGGGCTGACTCCTCCAACGATGGGCGATTCTAACACATTCTAACAATGGGCTTTTTTCAGATGCATCAACAAAGGTGAACCTGCCCCGAGTTTCAGAAAAAAGGCGGGTGTCTCAACTTGCCAGAATTTGGGAGTGCACAGGGAAAAGGGAGCGGGGGAGGAAGAACAGCCCTGTTCAGTCGGCTAAGAAGCAGTGCACCAAAGCCAATTCCAAACGCAGCACAAGGCTGTCCTGGGGGTTATTTCTAAAAGAACAGGAGCTACTGATGGGAACCTTTGCCTAACACGCAGATGTGTGTCTGCAGTCGCACAGTGATGAGAGAAAGGCACTTTGCACACCCTCAGAGGCACTCCCCTTCATTGTGATTCTCCCCCACCCATTCCAGGGTCTAAATCTTGCCACAGACACCCACCTACCCACAAAAACTGTGTGTGTGTGTGTGTGTGGGGGGGGGGGGTCCAGCGAGAAAGCACAATGCTAAGCTCTGCTTGCTGATCCCCATGCGTGGGAATGTCTGGGGGGCAGGCGGAGGGCACCCGGTGGGGCAGTTTGACAAGGGGGACTGGCAGGTGCAGGTGCACCAGCCAGGGGTGGAGGTGGACAGGAGAAACGGCAGCTGCTTGCTGGTGCTAAAAGCCACAGATGGAAACCCCCAGGCCCCGGGACTTTGGATGAGGAGTTAGAGAAGACTCAACCTGGGCTCCCGACGTCAACCCTTTATCAATCGACTTGTGCAAACACAAGCGCACGCGGCTTCCCACCTCCTTCCATCTTTTAAAAACTGTGATTGTACCCAAAGCAGCTGTTAGGGGGTTTATTTGTTTGTTAACATATATAGACTGCTTCATAGCTCAGAGGGCTCTCTGGGTGGTTTGCAATAAAAGACAGTAAGATCCACAGTAGCTGTAATTCTTGGCGTCATTCCTACCAAAGGGGCTGGCGCCCGAAGGCAGGTTGAATGGGCGCTGAACGTGGGCCCAACAGGCAATGTCCTTTGATGCTTCTGTTCAGCATCACCCGGGGCGCCACCTGCTGAAGAAGAATGTCTTTGGGGAATCCCACCAGTGGGGTCTTTCCTGGTCTTGCTCTTTCTCCTTCTTTCTGGCTGCGTTCACAGGACCCCTGCCAAAAATGGTGACGGTCGTACAGAGGTGTGGCCTCCATATCCAGCATTCGGAGGGTCTGAATTCCATTTCAGAGAAGCCGGTGGGGGGCATATTCTGGCAAGGGGTGGGACGGAAGGTTAAGGGAGTGGGGGCCAAAAGACAACCCTCCCCTGCAAGTGATTGTGGCTTGAAACTCTGGCTTGAAAGTTCCAACCTTTTAGAATAGGGGGAAAGAACTGCACAAAAGCTGGGGAACTACCCAGAGACTGGCTGCCGGGGGTGAGGCTAGCGGGGCACTCTGAGGGTGCAGGATCCAGCCCCCAAGCTTCCTCTTCCCCTCCCCTGGCCCTGCAGAGGCCTGTGCCTTCCCACCTTGCATTCTGGGCTTGCCGCCACTGGAAGGAGGGGTGAACATGACGCACACGAACCATTCATGGGGGGCGGGGGGGGGGCAGACACAGGGCTACATCTTTGGTGCTGATGCACAGCCAGTGCTCTGCCAGATCACTGGTTCTGTGGATGCGCAGCCGGGCGGCCCGGTCTGAGGGAGGCTGTTCCAGGAGCACCGCCACCACACCCCTCCAGGCGTGCCTGGGCTGAGGACGGAGCGCTTGACCAGAGAAGGTGGAAGAGGGCCGTTGGCTGCTGCTCGAGCATCGCTTCGATGTTCAGCCGCCAGGCACCGAGCAGCGGGCCATATCTGGACCCCGAAAGCTCGTGCGCAGGCCCGCGTTCTTGCAGGTCTTGTCTAGCTGCCTCGAAAGATAAGCCATCCTTGCTGCCTTTGGATCTCTCCCACGGAGAAAGCAATCCATACTGTTGCTCCCTTCTCGTTTTGGCATCGCAGCGGCCAGGCAGGGGCCGAAGCTGTGCCGAGACGGAACGCATTCCCCAATTCAGTTCCCCCTTCCTGCTTTCTCAAATCTGGGCCTGATGGCAGAAGAACCAAAACAAAAGCCTTACTCCACAGGTTGGGGCAGAGAAGCCTCACCCACCGCCTTGCCCAGCACCCACCCCAGGCTCCTCCTGCTGCCGTTATTCCGCCCTGACCTTGGGTCCTGCGGGTCCTCAGCAAAAACAAACCAGCCAGTGCCCCTCCGTCCTGCCCTTCAGGCAGCTGCCGAATTATGCATGGCAGGAATGTGGACGGCGCCTTGGAGCAAGACGGGCACTGACCGAACCCTCCCGACTGCACAGCTGCTCAGAGGAGGCCTTATGCAGCACAGTGCCGAGCCTGCCTGTGAATCCAGCCCCGAAGGGCCCCTCTCCCCTCCCACCCTGTCCCTCCTGCTTGATCTGCGGGCAGCCCAGTACCTTGGAATCTGTGCACGGCATGGGAGCCAGCACAGTGTAAGACAGAACAGGTGTGCCAGGGAGGGGAAGATGCACCGGTGAAAATTCTCCCCTTGGTGCAACAGTAAGAAGGCATCCGATGCCTTCGAGCCCGGCTGGTCTTCTGCACAGGAAAGATCCCCGTTCTTGCCATTGTTCCAGGAGGAGAATGTGGGGGGAGCACCCCCCCCCATGCCATGCAGCGTGGCAAGAGATCCTTTGCACAGGAGACCGGCAGCTCCAGGACAGGGGGAAATCTAAGGGCTCTCCCAGCAAGCTGAACGTTTGCTCTGACCACTGAGCTCAGCCAGCGCAAACGGTGTGGAAGGCAGACCTTGGGAGCGCTTCCCCCGTCTTGCAAAGTGCCAGGCCACCCGCACCCACTGCAGCCAAGCTCAGAGGAGCAGGGCTGCCCGGGTGGCAAGCTGGCATCAGTGTCCCTGCTAAGGAGGAGGAGCCAGATGTGCCCCTGGGAAGTCCCGGTGCCACGACGCCACGGCTGCCGAGCCAGACCACACCGGCTTCTTGCAGAGAGAGGTGAGGCTGAATGGCCACGGGGCAGACAGGCAGGAGAGCCTGCGGAGGCGTGGCTGGGGGGGGGGGGGGACAGACTGCAGGAAAAGCAGTGCATCAAGCATCCCATCTGCCTGGGCCGCAAGGCCAAGGGGGCATTGCATGCGGCCGGCCCAGCCCTCCCCAGGCCCTGCCACGGCTCCCCACGAAAGCAAGGCAAAGCAAGGCTGGGAAGCAGAGCAGCGCCCCGTGAAGGTTCTCGGGGGTGCGATTTGGCATCCCAGGGGGTGCGTGGCAGTTTTCCAGCCCAGCGGGCAGCAAAATTAATGCATCGGTGATCTCAGCTGTGCCGGAGAGGGGAGCCGGCCCTCCGAGCACAGATGTGGCCCTTGCCTGGCATGTGGGGAGAAGGGACTGGCTGCTTTCCCATTCCGTCTTGCGGTGACCTTCACAGGAGAAGGCATCCCAGGCCGTGGGGCAAGAACCCAGAGCTGGCACGGCGGTGCGTCTGTCTTTGCCCCTTCTAGCCTCAAACCGGAGGTGCTCCCAGCCGCCTGCCGGCCGAGCGACAAAAGGGAGGCACGAGAGATGCGACAGCAGCCGCGGGTGAGAGGACGGGTGGCCAGAGCTTGCACCACGGGCTTTGCAGCTGTCCTGTTACATCCGACTTGCTGTACAGACCTGCAGGTACCGCACAGCCATCGTAGGGGCACACGTACACAGTCGGGTCAAGAGGAAGATGGTGGGCAGCCAAGAATATATGTGTGAATATATCAAAAGGGAAAAGAGGACGGCGGAGCACACGCGTCCGTTGCTCACTTGCACAGGTTTGGGTGGTCTTCCCACTGCTGCTTCGACAGAGAAAGAGGGCTAGCGAGGCAGTCCCGGTCCGGGGGGGAGAGCGGTCCCCTGAGCGGGGATTTCCTTGGCCAGCCCCGCAATGCTGTGTGAACGTCACCCGAAGTCAAGGCAGCAGAAGCGACATGAGAAGGCGACGAGATCTATCCTGAACGCTGGTGGAGAGCCGAATCGACAAACGGACAGACACACACACGGACAGACGGAAGGACGGACAGACGGATGGACGGACGGACGCAGGCAGTGTTCACGCTTCCACGCAGCACATGGCAAAATGTGGGCGGGAGACGGGGGAGCAGAGAAGCCTCAGTCCTTCAGGCTGGGTTCCAAGACCCCCTGGGCCGTCAGTTCGGCCAGGACATTGTCCAGGTAGTTCGGGTCGGGATAGCCGTGGCCGGTGAGGTTGGAGCCGAACTCGGTCTTGTGGTGGATCTCATTCCACACCACTGTGTCGGACTCGCCTGTCGTATTGGACGTGCCGATGGTAAAGATGAGCCGGCGTTCCCAGGCTGTGATCAGGAGCTTCAGGATCTGGGGGACAGAGCAGAGGGGTAACGCTAATGCTAATGATATACTTGACGCCAAGGTGGTAACTTGACAGCTGCTGTGGCTTGTTTCTATTTATTTATTTAGAAACACAGAAACAGAGCGAGTCAGAAGGGGTCTCCCGGGCCATCTAGTCTGACCCCCAGCTCCAACCGGCTCTGCTCACGACATGCCCATCATGCGCATGTCCAGCCTATCCTTGAACACCCTCTCTGATGGGGCCTCAGCGACCACCCGGGGAAGCCCATTCCATACCCTCGGGGTCCTAACTGTCAGGAAGTGCTTCCTGGCATCTAAATGGAACCTTGGTTCCCATTTGATTTATATCCTGCTTTTTGTTTCTTCCTTTGAAGAACCCAAGGCACTTTTCATCATTCTCCTCCTCTGGCTCTCAATCTTATCCCCACAACAACAACAACCCTGTGAGGTGGGCTGGGCTGAGAGTCTGTGACTGGCCCAAAGTCACCCAGTTGGCTCCATGGCTGAGCGGGGACTGGAACCCAGATCTCCCGAGTCCAGACCCAGTCCCCACTCTTACCCATCACTCCACCGCTGACCTTCTATTTTAGCCAATGGATGGTCTCCTGACCAGAAACAGAAATTCAGCGTAAGACAGGAAGGCCCCTATCTGGCCCCGGGCTGCTCCCCAGAAGACCACGCTCCTTTCCTTGGCCCCGCCCCTCAAGGAGGAGGAGCTTGATCTTGCAGTGAGCTGGTATGTTGGCTCCGCCCCTTTCCCCCCCAAGATCTTCACTGAACTAGAACCCCCCCCCCCCCCAGGCTAGAAGAGGGTCAGCACCTCTGGTGGGAAGATTCAGCCTCTTGCCTGCCATGCCGCTTCCCTGCCTTCCTCAGAGTGACCCTATAAAGGCAGGGGGGCGACCAGGGTGGCCGAAAGCAAGGGATTATGGGAACCGTAGGCCAAAACATCTGGAGGGCCGCCAGTTGCCCATCCCTGCATGAGCCTCAGGCGGGAACCTCCCACGAGAGCTCACTGCAGCTTCCAGATAACCCATTTGGAAGGGGTGGATGCTGCATTCAGGTCAAGGGTGACCCCCCCCGCCCCGTGTTTCCTACACCTCGCACTTCCATCTGTGTCTCCCTCACTCTGCAGGAGGAATTTTAAGTTTCCACAACAGCATACACACCCCTGCACACTTAGCGTCACGTGCATTGGGTCTTCCAGCTTAGACTTCAGGCACACGTACATGTACCCACCCCACCGGGTGCAGTGTGGGGTTTTTGCCTCAGGCATCAAAATATCTTGGGCCAGCCATCCTACAAACTAAGGACTGTGTTGCCAGGCATAGGATCTTGACCCCAGAGAGCTGGGGACAGGCAGCTCCTGTCCTGGGAGGTGAACTTACACACACACACACACACACACACATATGTGGATCAGTTGAGTTCACTCTCACTCACTGAACCCAAAACCCGTGTCTGCTTTCCGTTTTTTTCATTTCCTTCATTTTGCTTTCGATGCCTCCTAAATCATGCCATGCGTCTCGCAGAATATGAGATCAGGAATCCTGAGTATCTTGAACTTCTTTTCCTTCTTAAAAAATATTGGCATGTTTCTAGTCATTATGAGTTCAGGCAAGCAAGCAGAAAACAGGCGGCAAGCAGAGAACCAGCGAGAGGTTACGCACAATTTCTAGAGAGGTATTTGGAAAAGCACACAGTTCCAGTACAGAGTGCAAAATGCTACCTTTCGGCCTTTCTCGTTGTCGGGAAGGTAGCAGTGGCGTGGAAAGCCTCGCGCAGTGAACTTCTTCCCGGGATTTGGGTGCTCTGGGCCCTGGTGAAGCGAGAGGTCAGCATTAAGTGCTCCATCAGCAGAGATTATAAGAGGAGGAAAATGCCCCTTCTCGTCACAAGCTTGTTTTGTGAGTCCTGGCAGCTTGCAGTGTTGCCGAGAATGGATTAATGGATGCAGCTTTCCCCACTACTGTTGCATGATGATGAGAGAAGTGGCACCAGCCAGAATTCTCTCCAGGAAATCTTGGGACAAGCAAGTGGCCTTTCAAGGGGTCTAGAGACTTCCAAAGCAAAAAGGACTTGAGCCCCCTCCCCCGTGCATATTCCCATGGCTCTGGCCTTGCAAGTCTTTCCCTCCTTCATGCTCCACCTCTCTCACCTGGATCCCTGTTGGAATATCATACACGATGCGGATGGTTTTGCAATCCAAATAGCCAGGGAGTGAGTGTGGGATAATGTGGAACTCCATCTTCCCAGGAGGCTGAGTCCCCGTCTTCTCCCCATAGATGGCCTTACATGTGGGGCACTGCAGGCTGCCATCCTGCCAAGCAGAAGAAAGTAGATGGGGGCCAGAAATAGAGCGACGGAGGAACATTCCTCCTCTGGGGCCTTTCCCGCCACAGGCACGGGGTGCCAAACGGCAGCCCAGTTTCAGTGTTGCAAAGATCGAAGGAGCAGCAGAACGGGGCTCGCAGGGACGCCATGCCAACGCGCCTGCATTTATGCCCTTGGCCACCTTTGCTCAGAGGCCCCTGCTCCCACCAGGCCTGGCTGCAATTCCTACAGCAGCTGGTGAGCAGAATGAATTTGCCCAGCAGCAACCGATTCTTCCTCATTGTGACATAAACTATTTTAAGGTGGCAGTTTAGACCCATTAGTCTGCAAAAGGGCTGCTCCTGCTGGAGATGGAAACATTATGGCTAGCTTATTTTAGACTTTCTGTGGGGTTCTGGCTATGGGGACTGTTCCAAAGAGTGCCCACAATTCAGAATTTGCAGCCATAGCAGGACTGAGATTTCCACATGGGCTTGTGGACCATGAAAGCCATCGCATGGTCTACTCCCAGGATGCAGAACCCCAGGTCCTGAGGGCCAAATCCAGCTCTCTTGGGAATCCACACCTGGTGTCAGGAGTTACCCAGAGGGTCATTCCTCCTCATTCCCTGCGGAGTCTCTGGAGGAGAAAGTTTTGCCACTACCTGTTCCCTGGACTTTTCACCTGGAAGCTGGGCATGCCATCTGGGACCTTCTTACACAGGTGCACCGTGGCTCTTTCCCACCACCTCTGGCATCCCTAGTTATTTGAACACCAAACCTAGTGACCTTTGAGGATCAGAGACCCCGAGAGCCACTGGGTGAAGGGCAAACGAAACGTTCTCTTTAGCACACTGTGCAGAGTGAGGCACGCTGGACCTCTTTCCTCCCTTGCCAGCAAGCGGGGCCTCGATTTGGATCAGGGTGACAGCTCTTCAGAAGAAGAGACGTTAAGCTTCCCTCCTGGTCTCCATTCCAAAATTTCACCCCCAATCCACATGGATGAAGGGAAAAGGGAAAGGGAAAGGAAAAGGAAAAGGAAAAGAGGGAAGGGAAGGGAAGGGAAGGGAAGGGAAGGGAAGGGAAGGGAAGG